GGCCCCCCCCCCCCCCCCCACGTGACGACCGCGGCGGGTTACAGAGGTCAGATTTAGTCCCTAAATCCTGCTGAAGGGTAGAGGTGGTCCTCTGCCGTAGTTTCGGTTGGCCGAACGGGGGGTGACGAGAGAAGAGGAGAGTATCTTAATAGCCTGTGAACGTGTTGCTGTTTGCACTCCTGCTCAAAACAAGGAGTCCTTGTTCTGTCCCGCGAGCCTTAGTTGTGCGTAGCGTGGGTTTGTTCTGTGGTCTATCGCGGTGGAGTGTCGACCGATATTGGGGAAGACTCTTAGTGGAGGCGGACCTCTGGAAGACGATCACAACAATAACGAAAGCGACGACCCCAGCACAAGTATCAACCGCTTACAGCAGCACAACAACAGAAGTATCAAATGTAAAAGGTCTGTTGTGTCAACTTTATCAGAACGCCCGTAGTCTACGTTTTGAAGAGATACTTCTTTAATCCAGTATAACCATGCTACTACTACTGCTGTAATACTCAACGAGCGTTCTCTGTAAGCGTGTAGCGTTCTGAGTGCGCAGCAACTTCCAACGCGCGGGTATTCATCTATTTAGCAGCAGACACACGCGTAAAACAGCAGGTGCATCAAGGTCTGAGCAACACAACAAGGGGGAGAGAGAAAAAATTTCTTCTCCCGGCCGAATCAAGATTGCACAAGCTTTGTTCGCACACGGCGCACAATTTTGCCACACTTGGTGCTTTGACAGGTAGTTTCTACCCCTACGAGTTTATTATCGGCACGATGCTGCACGAGCTGGTGCACAACCAGATCGGCCCCCACAGCGCGAAGTTCTACCGGGTGTTGGACCAGCTCAACGACGAGTGCGACAAGCTCACTCGGGAAGGTGTGTTCGCTTATTTAGCATCCACCGCGCTAAGTGACTGGTCAATGAAAAGCCGTCAGTGCCAGCGGAAGAACCAAGGTCCCTGGAGGGAGGGGGCAATGTTCGAGTAATGCGCAATGCACCAACTGCGAATGCCGAAATGCATCTCGTTCCGTGTCCTTGCTTACGCTCCCGCTGAGCTCAACCTAAGTAACCCATTTGTGCATTATCTCTCCTTTGCTCGCTCAATGCTTCGTGCCTGTTTGCTGTTTTCTTTAATTAAAAATATGGTTTTGGCATACGAGCTTGTCGGAACCAAAAAGCGGGTCGTACATACTTGGTCCCTTCATGATTTTTTGTTTTTGGCCCTGTGTCTCGTCTTGACCCGTGTGTCCTTGCTCCCGCCGCGTTACAGGCATCACCGGGCGCAACATGCCGTTCGCAGGTGACGGTCAGCCCTTAGGAGGGGGGCGAGCCCCAAACGATGCTAGGGCCGCTGCGCTAAAGGTACCCACCCACTGGGTTTTCGCATTCATCGGTGTTACGGCACCGGGGCGCCAAAAATAACAATAGAGAAATGACCACAGCAAAACCTGATTGCAACGCGTGCGTCAGCTCCGATAATAAAGGTAGCATAGACCTCCTCCTGCGATGAACAAAACATGCATACTAAGGGTGACACATCGTGCGTGCCGATGGGTGAGAGTGGGGGGTATGTGGGAGAAGAAAATCAAAGTCCAAGAACAACGTTGTTGGGCAAAATTATATTTGAACGTCTGACTACTTCTGCTGTATCTTCCAGTGGTTTGTGAAGGTTCTTTTTCTCTTATTCGAAAATTCGAACGAACGACGATGACGCCGTTTCCAGAGGATCACGCGCGTGCGTGCGTACGAGTTCCGGTCGGGCTTGCAGGCAAACGTGTAACATTGAGAGCTACAATACCGTGATGAACCAGTACTCCGAGTATATTTTTTTCGGTTGCAAAACACGATTGAAGAAATATGGTCAAGAGGGTGGGTTTTGATTGAGTATTGCATAGATAGCGCGTGGCGAACCCCGACCTTGTTCTGTTTTTTTTTTTTTTTTTTGGCGTGTGTTGCCCCTTGTTCTTTTGTTGATACCCCCGCCCTCCTCGCTTTGCTTGATTTTGCCCCCGGTGTGCGGCCGACCGCTGCTGCTGTGTTCGGCACGACAGGCGGCGGAGAAGCGACAGCGGCAGCAGGGTATCATGGGCAGCGGGGGGCAGCGGTTGGGCGGTGTTTCGGGCTCCTCACCGTCGGATGCAATTTCCGCCGCGCAGCGTGCCGCGGCCGCCGCACAATGGTGAGCGAAAGTGGAATATCTTGTGCTAGTCAGTGTCGAGCCGATTGCGACAGGCGGGTAACATAGTTGTGAGTGCCAAGGGCGGAAACGCTCTTCTCAATGGCGCATGCCAGGTTTGTAGACGAGGCTTGATGGTCAGGGTCCGTGTTTCAGTCCTCGTCATTGTTTAGGCGGCAAGAAGGAGGAACCGGAATCGGAAACGACGGGAAAAGGCAAGAGGGCGGTGTAGGCTCTTACGCCGAGAACGACCAAAATACCGCGAACCTCCAACAGAACATCAATGACGACAATCATCTCTGCCGACTGCGAAAACGGGGACGTGCTGACAACGGCCGGGAAGCACCGATCAGTCGGCCAAAATGGCGAAAACAACATTGTGTGGGCACCACATGTCAGTATATACGGCTTGGGGCACCGTATTTCGTGTTGGGCAAACACCCTTTTTACAAGTGGCGTCAGCGGCAGGATGTCATCCCTGCAATGTCAAAGTCCCGGGTTCGAATCCGGGCACATGAAAATGGGTGGTTTTCTGTCCGCCGCCAGCCGGTCGGGTTCCGGTTACCGTACATGCTACGGGGGGTGCGTCGTGGTACCCGCGTATTTGTCTACGATGCTGAGCTGTCCGCTCTCTCGTATCCGGGGGGGTATGTGGGCACCACATGTCAGTATATAAGGCTTGGGGCACCTTATCTCGTGTCGGGCAAACACCCTTTTTACAATTGTAGCATCACGAACAAGACCGGCAATATGCATGTCGACAACGCCGTTTCATGCATCACTTGTCTGCCTCGACATCAATACCGTAGGTAGCACACCCCCTGGACCGATTTTCGAAGCTCGATTACTCCATGACGAAGAAGATGCCGAAATTGAAGTATACGTTTTCGGAAGGCTTGACAAGACGGTTCCAACGCCGCCATACTCGACACCGTCGCTGCTGTTCCTGCCGATGTATCGAGCTTCGAAAATCGGTCCATGGTGTGTGATAACTTACGTGATGCAACCTACGGTACGTATCACTAACGCCACGGTGCTGCGCTGCATCGCCTGACTGCCCGAACACGCGCGCCCACACTACGTAGGAGACACGCCGTCAGCCAAGGCTGCAGAGGACACCACGGTTGTACCGCCGGCGTGAAAGCCGACGACGATGCCGACGACGGCGACCACTGGGAGTGTGGGCTCTGCACGCTCTTCAACTCGCTCACCGTTAACGCGTGCGACGCCTGCGGGAAGGAGCGTTCCGCCACACCCGCTGGGAAGTCAGTCCGAGGCCGCGGTGCCGGCAGCAGCACCGGTGGGCGGGGCGGCGGTAGCAGTGTCGCCGGCGGCACCACTACGGGCCGCCAAAAGCGACCCGCGCCGACAACGGGGGCGGCGGCCGGGGCGGGGCGGCTGCAAAATAAGTCAACAGCGGGGGCGCGGATGGCGAGTGACGGCCGCTCCGTGGGTGCTCCCCGCGGAGGTGGCAGTGGCGCCGGTACCACCGGCGGCGGCGGCCGTCTTCCTTCGGCGGGGCGCACGTGGACGTGCCGGAGTTGCCCGTTTTCGTTTCCGAATGTTTCGGAGAGGCGGACGTGCGAGTCGTGCGGAGCAGCGCGTCTTCTGCCCGCCGATGCAGGGAGCGGCGGCGGCGGCGGCGGCGGCGGGGACGGTGCCGCAACGGCGGTAGGGGGAACGACGGGCGGACATACCAGCTGGGGCGCGGAGCTGCTGCCGTCGTGGACGTGCGAAGCGTGCACGGTGGTGAACCCGGGGATGTTTTTGGGGTGCTCGGTGTGCGGAGCGGAGCGACCCGCGGACGAAGCAGCGGAAGCAGGCGGCGGCGGCGGCGGCGGCGACGACGACGACGATACCCGCGCGACCTTGAGCTCAGAATGGACGGCGGAAGTTGGAAGAGGAGGAGGAGGAGGAGGAGCCACCGCTGGCGGGTGGATGGCCGCGCAAGGCAGCAGCGGCGGGACCGACTGTTCCGTAGGTGTTGGCGGCGCTGCCGTCGGAGAAACGGTCGGCTTTGGCGGAAGAACACGGGACGACCCCGGGATGGAAAGTTGCTGGTCAGCGCAGCCGACAGGCGAGACGCGGGTGTGCCGGTTGTGCACTCTGCGGAACCCCCCGGAGGCTTCGAATTGCAAGGCTTGTGGGATCCCGCTCGCAGAGAGCGAGGCCGCGGTTGCTGCTACTGCGTCGGGAGGAGAAACGGCGGCCGATGCTCAAGGCGCTACCGGCGGCGTCGGCGTCGGCGGCAGCCGCGCTAGCCGGGCGTCAGCGACGGTCGAGGGGGAAGAGAGCAGCAGCCATCGTCTGGGGGCAACAGCAGCAGCAGCAGCAGCAGCAGCAGCAGGTGCGCCGTCGTCCGACGAGCCCGAATTCATCGACTTGTCGTGAAGGGCGTGTACAAGCTGTTCCTGTGCAACCCCCCCTTTTTTTGTTATGATGTGCATGTCTTTTTACCGGCACAAGGTCACCGCGGCTGCCGCGACGTGCGTTGTGGTTTTACGTGTTTTTGCTTGCGCGTGGTCCGGCTGCCAGACGTCCGTCCGTGTGTTTGTAGGTCCGGTGGTGTAGGGTCGGCGGCGGAGCGGGAGGGAGGCGCAACCGTCTCCTTGATGTACATTAAGAGCGCCGTGGGAAGTAGGGCTTCAGGGCCTCCCCAAACATATCTCTCCCCGCTGAGACGGAAATATGGATAGGATAGGGAAAATGTGTTGAGCCACCATTGGCAAGGTAGGGATTGGCCATCGGTGATCGGTCCTGGTGTGGGAACAATCCTCCGTGGCCTGAGGAGTCGGTGAGTCGTGGTGCTAGCTGTTGCGGGGGACAGATGATAGGTCGCCGCGCGTCGCATGCTTTTCTGAAGGTAGAGACCGCGGGTACGTGTGCTCTCGGCCTTCTTCCGTGCGTAGAGCTGATGATACAGCAGTGGCAGATGACAAATCATCGACGGGGTATGTGTGCCGTGGGGTACACCGTACCAACATGACGTCGGTTCGTTTGTTGTGTGGAAAAGGGGATGCCTGCTGCGTGTCTAGGCGAAGTGCTCGCCGTTGTGGCATCTTGGGGAGTGGCGGTGGTTGAATCTTCGCACGCAGAGTTAGTTCTTGTTGTGATTGCTGCGAGCGCCCCGCGCGGGTGGTGCGGTACAGCTTGCTTGTTGGAACAGCCACCGGCCCCCCAGACAAATGCTGTGGTTGTAGATAGCCATCGAAGGTGCCGAATGTTAATAGCGTGTTTATTCGTGTTTTGTGGAGAGGAGAGGACAGGTAGATTGATGAGGGTGACAAGCCTGATGTGGCTTTCCTTCTTCAGTTGTTTTTCCGCTTTTTTTTTAGGGGAAAATGTTTTTGCAAACATCAGTCGGTCTCCTTTTTGATTCGTTGAAACGCGTTTGTGACCGTGTTGTTGGACGAACGTGGGAGTAGTTTCACGATGTAAGGGAGTGGTCGTTGCGGAAGTGTTTCGTGTTAAACCCTCTTAGAACCGGACGCCCATATGGGGACACTTCGGGGACACAGCACTCAGGATGTCTATCTCCTGCACCGTAGTCGCCCGACGCTTCGCTGTGTGAAACGCGCGTGAGAGCCCTTTGTCTATCATGCTTGGGTGAGGTACGATGTGTGATATGCTGTGTGATGCGCCTCCTCGGCCTCTGACTTGCTGTACACAATCTCCCAAGTCGCGTGTCCCAGTGGATGGTAAAGCTGTACATAGCCTTGTACTGGAAAAAAATGCTGACTTGGCTTCAGCATGAGAAGCGTCCCCACGCGTTTTGGGGACACCTTTCATACTGAAGCCAAGTCAACCGTTGTCTAGCAAGAAGCTCGGCACTCCGATTCTTTCGAGGGACTGTAGCCCCTTGGCCAATTACTACCAAGTAAAGAAAGGTGTTTCTGCGGCGGGACTGCGTCTATGGGAAGGAGGTTAAACCGGCGGAAGGTGGGAAAAAAATCGTCCCGACGAGTGTTGCAAGCGCGGTCCGCTGAAGTACGCTTTGCGGTGCCCACAAAAGGCTGCTGCTGGGCCGCCTCATCTCTTACTGTAGCACCTTTGGAAAGCAATTTTTGTGCCCAGATAGGCTGCCCCATCCACGACACGCTCGGTCGCCCTCGCAACGTTGTTCGTATATACCCCCGCTGTTGGCTCGACAATCAAACACCCTTCCATTTTTTCGACAAATTACAGCCTCGAGGGTCCCGGGAGACTGATCGGTAGCCAGCCACGCATTCTCATCTGACCATCTCGCTCGGCAATTCCGTCGAGCGCCGTACGTTGCTCCCGGCTGACCACCTGTCATATTTACAATGCTACGCAGTAGATGCCACCCCGTCCATCTTGCGCAAGACCAATCGTCACCAACATACCACCACCACCTCTACAACTACCCCCGCCACTACACGCTACCACAACCAACCGGGCAAAACCAAACCTAAAACGCCGCAAGTTCAAAGCAACTGTGACGGTCTTGTTCCGTTTCCACCGAAAAAGCCTCATCCAAGCTCTGTCACAAACGGTTTCCAAGCGTTCGAACGCCTCGACCAATCTAACGGACCTTTCGCCTTATTTCGATCTACGACGATCCCCCCCTGTGCAATCACGAACCCCCCAACAAAGTGTCGTCTACGTGACGTTGCAGCGTCTTGATGATGGAGGCGGATCGAAATCTACCCGGCCGCCCGTCAATTTCGCCGCCGGCCAACCAGTGCACGGCAGCAGCTCCGCTTTGACCAATTAAATCGTGCGATCCGACTCCGGGCCCGTCGAAACGCTGCCGCCGATCTGAACGATCAAGTAGCCATTTAAACACCCTTTTCGGTACTACACTAAAGTAGAGCAGTCATCCCCGGTTAATGGACACTAATGGTGTGGTTCTTGAAGAATGTGCTTACACCCCCCGCTACTGTTTTTACATTCTGGCGGGCACCGTGCTTTTGATAACGGTAGCCTTCGCAAGGTTGTTGCATTCAGGAAACATGTTGGATAAAGCATACAATCGGGGAAATTGGGTCAGGTAGGGTTAGGAAATAGGGCCTGCGTACCCCCTCCCTGTTCTATTTCCTTGCAATATTGAAATTCCCGCGAAGGCGGTCCGAAAACAATGGCGTCCCTTTGATGTACCCCCAATGGTGGTGTCCTTGAAAAGCAGGAGCTTCAAGCGTTAAATACTTTTGAGGGTATAAGTCTGCAGCAGCAGCAGAAACAACAAAGGCCTCGAAAGGCAGACTACAGCAATAACAAGGAGAGGCCTCAAAGGCAGAGATCCGAGACTCCATCTCCGGCCACGCAGCCGTCCGCTTCTAGCTCCGCTTCCAGCACCTGCGCGCGTCGTCTCAAAGCCGCGAGGCGATCGGTGACCCTCTCCAGCGCAGCGCAAGTCTGGCGTATCTGTATGGGGTGTGCCGCCGTATCGAGGCGTGGTGGCGAGGGGGGGGGGTTACTCATGTAAACGCATGCCGTAGTCGTTAGACCATAGAGCGGGGTGGGGATCGACTCAACATGATAAACACAACGCCTCTTCATCGTACCCAGGTGTGGTCACGGGAGGAGGTGGAACAAGACGATACAGGTCAAATTCAGCGACGACACAAACGCATCCATTTTACCAAGGCGTGGCAGCAAGGGTAGAACCAAAAAAAACGACAATAATGTGGGTCAGACTCAGCGACGAAGGCAATCATCACTTGATGGCACCGAGGCGTGTTGGCGACGGAAACGAGATGATAATGGGCTATAGATGAAGCAACTACAAAGCCTCCCTCCCCAACGCCTGAGATGGACTCGACGAACTAGCTTGTGCACGCGCTCCGATAGGTACGCATGTCGGCGCGCGCAGGTGGTCGCTTGCATCGTTCCTATCCCCATCGGGTGCCGGTGTCGACAACCGGACCGAGCACACCGGGTCCATGCGAGAAACCCTACATGTATATCGTGTACCTTGTCCGCCCTTGTTTCGATCGCGTCCGCCTGGCGGGCTGTGTCGTGTAGTCGGAGCTCTGCTTGACGAGGAGGCAAAATCGACAGATAGATGCGCAAGACACCAGCCGAGCAGCAGAGGTAGGTGTGAAGAGTCGCACGCAATTTGTTTAATAGGAGTATGGTTGTCGCTGCTGCTTCTGCTCGTGTCGCTCTTGATGCTGATGGGCACTCATCACCACAAGAAACATTGAAAACCAGCCCAAGGCGTTTGTCACATGTCAGCCGGTTAGCTCGGCCGGTGCTGAACAAACAACAAGACACACACACGCGCGCACACACACACGCAGCCCTTGCTTACCCTTTGACTATAAAGTGGTCGTGTTTTTTATTCCGCTACACGACGTCTTTGCATTGGTCGGCCAGTTAGGGTGGTCGATGCTAGTTAAGAAATACACACACGCGCACCAGCAGAACAGGCAGCTAAAGCCAAAAGAGAAAGGTGTTCGTCACGTTGCCTCCCCGAGCAGAAGGAAAATCGCCGTCGAAGTAGACTGCGATACGTGCAAGTAGCCGGCGATGTGGGCAGGCAACATTCACATTCACGAACGAACAACCGAAGTCGCGGAAACAGGAAGAGGAAACGAACGGCGTCTTAAAGGCCAATAGCACCACCAGCGGGCAAGAGGCCGTTCCTGTCTAACCTGCGAGTAAAAGGGGTGCCACCATTTCACGCAAAACCTTTTACCACCCCCATGTTGTGAGTATTTCGCACAAAGCACTGGGTCTCCGAGGTTCCTCCGTGTCATTATCGTTGCCCAATCACAAGCCTAGCCCGAACCCCGTACACTAGGATAGATAAAAATCTACGTGAAATACGAGGTTCGGGTTAGGCTCGTGATTGGGTCACGATACATAGCACTCTCTAAATCTGCCCGGAATGACGGGGGGACTGCGGTTGGGATGAACGTCAAGTACGAGGGAGCGCTCAAAAACGATACCGAACGCAAAATTAGGTTCAAGCTATATTTTATCGCCGCAGCTCACCTTCCAGAAGCCCCCGGCTGGTTGCCAACAGATCGTCTTGTGTTTGCGCGAGGCTGTCGGTGGTGGCGATCATGTCGGTGACGCCTCCAATCAAACTGCGAAATATTCCCTTTTTGTCGTGCGGGGGGGAGGGGTAGAGGGTATCATACGGTGCTACGATGCTATTCTTGAATAATCAGCCGCACGCGTATTGCCCCGCGTTCCCTCCCCCCAGGTGTTTGCAACCGGGTTGGGTTTTCGTCGCTAAAAACGACGTTGTAAAACAAGCCCATCACTTGGTGAGCTCGGCAACCAGGTTAACGTTTTTTTTTGCCTTTGTCTTTAATTTTACGGTAGCCATAATGGTGGTCGAGTAGATTATGTTGTGCGGGGTCCAGAACCCTCAGTTCCGCGCAAGGGGGATGATCGCAACTCGTTGTGTTAAGGTGGTTAAGCATCCTCGAGGCATTCATACAGTGCTCATAACTGTCTCTGGAAGTGAAAGCACCAGGAAGCAAAATAAGCCATTCGCAGCTGTCGTCCGTACGCAAGGAAGCAACCATAAGATGCCGAACCCTTGGCAGCATGCAGCGCACCCTTCATGCGATTCGCCGAACACCTCACCGCGCTTCGCGCTTGGTGATGTGAGAGCCTGGTCCGGTGAGAACCCAACGTGCTCCGTCCCGGCTTTGTAGGGATGCAAGTCAATGGTCTAACCGCTACGGCGTGCACGACTACGAGTACACCCACCCCTCCCGAAACGCTATGCATACATACTGCTGCCATGGTGTTTCTCTACGACAACAGTCCCACCCTCCTTTCGCTGGGGTATTATCCAAGTTGACTTTGTCCCTACAGCAGTGGAGGTCCTTTGGTAAGGCGGTCTGAATAAGGCGGTTGCCCTACATAAGGCGGGTGAGATTGGCTGGCATAGACGGACCAACCAAGTTGTTCTACCAATTGAATAAGGCGGCGTGTATGTGGCGGTCATTATCAGATGCACTACCACCGCCTTTAATTCGGGGATCCGAATTGGCTGTATTTTCTGCGACGGAGAGAACTTTGCAGGTCAACCGACAGATAGCCATTTGCTGTACGCAGAGAGACGAGGGACAAGAATAACCCTTCTTGGCCTTGCCTTTGAGGGGGGAGGGGGGTGGTTCCGGGTACATTGAGCAATTGCTCCATTCTTGAGGGATAACCAAGTGCACTCCCAAACAAAACGTCCATGATGACATGGGTTTTCACCAATGGGCGGGATATGCCATGACCCTGCTGGCGAGATCGGAAACTGCAAGTTGGACGCAAACGGCAGTACATGTAGTGCAACAGTGGTTTCGGTGTTCCTGTGTAAGGCCGCATTCCTGTGTAGTAGCTGGGATTGGCCCGCCCTCGTTGTACCGGGCACCAGGCACGCTAATGTAACTGCTTTTACAGCACCGGGCAACATGATTTATATATTGTAGGCGGCCTTCTACAGGGATCATATACTCTGTATGTGGTAGATGCAATCAACCAGAAAGCAGCAGCAGCAGCAGCAGCTAGAAGAGGGCGAAACATCACGGGTACCGAGTACGACACAAGATAACACCCCCCCTCGGACCGACCGATTTTCAAAGCTCGATTTTTATCCACAGGAGAGAGTCGAAGCGCCGAAAATGGCGGCGTTGAAGCCATCTGGTGGAGAGCTCTTCGGACACGTATCATTTCGTTTGTGCATCCTCTTCATCGTGGAGTAATCGAGCTCTGAAAATCGGTCCAGAGGGTGTGTTATCTTGTGTCGAATACGCTAACTGCATGAGCATCCACGGGGTTGTATGCTAGGGTACAGGAGTTCGAAAGTGGTTGCAGATCACGGATTTTGAAATGTTTCTCATGTGTACAAGTGCCAGTACCGCAGAAGAGAAAAAGATGCACAGCACCTCCCACAAATGGGATAGGAAATGGGATCCCGTTGACGAACGTGCTCTCTAGGTTCAAGGTAACTACAAGTTCGTGTAGCTGACGATCGATTACCCTCAGCCTCTACGGTTGGTTGAAGTGCCTGTATGCTTCTACTCCAAGTATGGACCTCCAAATCAACTTGGATAAACAAGACCTATCCGTTAGAGAGAACTGATGTTGGTCTGCTGCTTGACGAATAGTGCACCCTGTTGTGCTGTAGTAGTACCTCGGCAAGCATGTCTTCTGCATCCTCGAGAGACCTGGCTTTGCTCATGTCGTTCCTCTTGCACCAACAAGCCGACCGAGACCGAGCGAGACACTCCGATCACTAGCCAACCACACATCGAACACAACAACACAACCTTCAAACCAGACAGGGAGATAGCCAGCGCGCAGCGGCGCGATCGGATGATCGACATAGGTGCGTCGAATCCGCGGAGCCCCCTCCCGGTGCTCTTGCTGTATGATCTCGCTGCCAGAGGCCTTCCTCGCCTTCCACCATGGAGGAGAATAGCGCGGGGATATCAGTCGCTGCCGCATCGTCTACCACGGCGACACTGAAGGTAGCGCGTGCATTCGATCACTTGTAGAATTCCCCAAGATGTAGGTTGACTCATCGTATGTTTCGTTTTTTTTTTTTTGTGGCGGCGATGATGGCCATATAGCGAGAGGTATCAGGTCATCCTTCGCAAGTTTCCGTAAGTGAGTCAGTGAGCGGCTGCCGCACTGCTGTCCGCTGCCAGCGAATAAATACGTGCCTACGTGCGATCCTGCTCTGGGGGACAGTGTTCGCAACCAGAGCTGTCCTCTAGCACCCGCCATTGCTCGCCATCTTAGCGGTATGATTGTAGATATCTTGGTTGTGTGGGTACACATCCCACGGACGCCACCACCAGCCAGCGACCGTGATGTGACTCACGATGCCAACACCACCAAGATCGTCGTACCCGATCACAGGGTGATGCACATGGAGCAAAGAGAAGAGAGGAGCCAATCGCTTCTTCCGCCACACTTGGTTCTGTCGTTGTGATCATTTTTGTTCTTCCTGTCCGCGTCGACAAATGCCTTCCTAAACTGCCTCGATCGAACAGCTTTCGCAATCTACAACTCAGTAGTTGAAGCATGTACTACGAGAAAATCGTCAGTTCATATTCGCCCTGGTGTGAGGTGGACGAAGTGACCGATCACTCCCGGCTTGCACGTAGTATGACCAGGTAGCAGTTGACGGGCGAGATTTTTCTGCCGTTACCAAGCAGCGACGGGTGTCGAGAAGCCTATGTCCATGCGCCACGCTCTACCATCCTCCCGTTCACAAATTCTCCGACTCTTCCGACAACAGCAGCGGTTAGTCTTAAGACCTGCTGTGTCGATGCACAAGCATTACTCTCCAACAGGAGATGCAATCTTTAATCGTCAGATCATCAGCAGACCTCCGCGCACAGCCATCGGTCCACCAACATAAACAATTTCGAACAACTAAAAACCGAACATTCCCGTGGTTTCCAATTCGAGCAGGAAGCAGCGACAGCCGCGTCCTAAATATATTTTTGTCCATTTTTCTCGCCAATTCCCCCTGAGTAACCGCCCGGGACTCCGCGGATATGCCGGACCAACTGGAACACACACGGCACGCCGCGCATCATGCAGCTTGCGTGATACGAGCATAACCATTGGTACACACGTTGGCGTCTCTCAGCTCTTCAAATCGGAAGCATTACACAGCAGCGGAGATTCCAAGAGTTTTCTCTCATCCGCTCAGAGAGCTTACCGCCCCCTCCCCCTCCCCCCCCCCCACCCCCCCGCAGCCGTACTTTGCACAGTGAAATGTTCGGAATACTCACGGGAGGGAAGTGGTTATTTTTGCGTAAAACGGTCCCTCCGGGGGAACACCAAGAGGTACTGCTGTAGCCGGGAGTATGTTGAGAATTGGCCCGCTGTCGTCGATTGCTCCGCCATCGCCTCGCCTTTGGGTCGGGTTAGGTTAGGTTAGGTCGGGCGAGCGGCCTTGGGCTGCCTTGGTCGATGACTGCGCCTCCGTCGCTCTATCGACCTTCGCTGTCGGTCGCCGTTTCTAAGGACATGAAACGATAGAGAAATGTTCACAGCGGGGGGGGGTGCGGTGACACGAAAGGAAGAAGCCGCAGCCCACGACAACCACCCGTCCTCTTGCCGCACACTCTCGTGGTCTCCAAATGGCACGGTTACAGGAAACTTTCCAAATCCAGTTATTGATAGGGGGTCTCAATCGCTCCGCGTACATGCAGGGGGCACGATGTGCAATACCAGATCGGTGCATTACGCATGTGCTTGTGTGCCGACGGCTCTCTGTTCTGGCTTGGGTCCTATTCCTATGCATGCAAAAACGTAGCTCGATAATCATCGGCCACAGAACAACGCGGCTCAACAGATATACCCCCCCCC